AGATTGCAGAACTGGACTTCTAGAGACTGGTAATTTGACTTTTTTTTTTTTTTAATAAAGAAGTAAATGACTTTTAACTCATGTAGACCAGATGATTTCCTTGTGGTCTAGCCTTTGTCTTCCCTAGCATTTTTCCTCATAGCCCAAGGCCCTGACCTTTACTTTATCTCTTTCTGAACAATTCAATTTGCTCGATTGACCTTTCATAACAGCGTTATCCAAAAGAAAGCATATATATAATTCTTTCTTTAGAGTAAAGGATTCAAGTCTTTTCCCAAAAAACCTAGGAGTCATTCACCCTTTTTGGTTAATAAGATTTTTAGGCACAAGGGATTCCTGGTAAGTAACTTATCGCCAGTGATTAAGCTCCTTGGCTTCTTCATAATGAGCCTCCCTATAGTGAAAGATATTAACCTTTGGAAGTTTTGACCACTTGGCTATTCATGTGCTTACTTTCATTAGACAGATAAATCTCAAACTTAAGGACTCCAACAAATATATTTACATAGGAAAAATTTCCCCAAGGCATATTTCTCTCTTTGTGTGAATTTCCAATGCTTAGATATTGTAGCAGTTTTCTTTGTATATTGCTGTATTTGCTGATGATTCTGAAATTCTTTGAACATTAAATTTCTAAATTTTTCTTTGTGATAAAGCTTGGCATTAGTACAGTTGAAACTATGTTTCTGTAACAAAGATAAAACCTGATATTTAACACTGTAAAATTTCATCTTTTATTTTTATTCATTTTTTAAAGATTTTATTTATTCATGAGAGACAGAGAGAGAGAGAGAGAGAGAGAGAGAGAGAGAGGCAAAGAGAGAAGCAGGCTCCATGCAGGGAGTCCAATGTGGGACTCGATCCTGGGACTCCAGGATCACGCCCTGGGCTGAAGGCAGGCGCTAAACCAATGAGCCACCCAGGGATCCCCTATCTCTTACCTATATTATGGTCCATTACAAGTTGAGTGGCTTTCCTCAGAAGCTCTTCTCCAGATAATGATGTAGGAACTAGGTTGCATCTATCTTGCAGCCATGTCATCTAGGGCATGTGGCTTCCAGAGTTGCCATGGAAGAGAGAACTTGGAGAATCATGCATGGAGTGTAATGGCCACACTAGAAGGGTGAACATTACTACCCTCTGTATCTTATGAGCCATAATTCAGTCTCTTGACCTTAAACTCACTGCTGGGAGAAGCATTGAAGCATAGGTTTACTGTGCTAGGAAGCGAAAAATGAAATGAGATATAGTGGCTGCATCGCATCATTTCTACCACAGCTCCTTTCATTGGTTTGATTCTTGGCTCACTTGTCATGTTTTAATAGTCTTGCCATTCTCCTGCTCTTAGACTTCAGCATCTTCAGGGTGCTTAGCCTGGCCCTTCATACTTGAGTAAAATCGCATTCAGCCTGACTCTAGAATTCATGTTCTTCTCAATACCACAGTGGTATAGAGTCACCATTAAAGTGCAGAGTGAGGAAGTTCAAGAGAATTTCCTTACTCTGGTTCTTCCACTCTTTCCCACCTTGCTTTGAACTTGCATCCTACAGTTATCCCTTTACTTCCAAGGATCACCCCTCTTTCACCAGATAATTGGCATGAGAGGCATTGTGGTAGCCATGTCATAGCTTTAAGAATTAGAAAAAGCATGTTTATTTCAGAATTTAGGGTGTTCCCCAGCTCCCTTTTATCAGTTCTCACAAGAGATTAAGTACCAATTGGCTGATCAACAAAGCAACTTGACCATTTATGCTTGGAACCACACTTGCCAGATAGGGCAGCATTGGCATGTGAGAACATTCCGTTTCCAACAGGAAATTCTACTGGGGCAACTAGTAGAAGCAGAAGTGGGGGGAAGGCTTGAAGAGCATCTGCAAGCAGAGACTGCCAGACAACTCCTTCTTAGGCAAACGGAGATGGAGATTACCTGCTTCTTCCCCACTGGGTGGGGCCAGAGACACACCACCACATAATTATTCATTTCTTCTTTCCAGTGTTACTTGTTCATCACTGAAAGATCTGACTTCAAATGACTTTAAGAACATTATAATTAATTAGTTTACATTTTGTTGTTAATTCACTTTCAGGGAGATTACAAATGTTTGCTCACTTGGCCAGTATTGATTAAGGGCCTACTATGCGTTAGGGATTATGCCACGTATTAGGATGTTGTGGTGAGCAACAGAAACAGTGTTAAGGGAGAGAGTGCCATGGTCAGACTGGAGGAAAGGATGGAGCAAATGGTGAGGTGGTGCTTTTTATAGGAGGTGAAGGGTGGAATGGTGTGATGACAGGAGCACACAGTGTTATGTCCAGCTCAGTGTCTGTCACAGACTCCTGTAAAAGTCACTGTTTTTCTTCTTTAAGACTCCCAAATGCAGGAGATGTTAGAAATAGTCATGTCCATGGTCAGGGGGAGAGGGAGGGAAAGCCCTTTAAAAGGGGTAAATAAGATAATTAAAGTGACCTTTATCAGATTTGACAATTAATAGTTAGAATGCTATTATATGCCCTTGTCATCACAAGCAAATAAATTTGTTTTTAACTCTTAGACATGCTCCAGTAATCCCGTGGTTGAGAATTTTGAAAATAATGAATTACCTGTAGAGAAAGGTAATTAGAAGATAGCTAGTGAAACATCTCTCTGCCTTGGTGTTGTAGAAGCATTCCTCAGAGAAATGTTACCATCAACAGCCCTGTTTATGTATATTCACCATGCTAATAGCTGACTTAATTAACTAGAAATGAAAGAAGTTTCTGCACCCTGTCAGGTATTTCCAAGTACATAGAGTTAAGAATTGTCATTACTTTGACTATTACTTAGCTTGTTAAAAGGGAACGAATAGACGTACCATAATTTGTTTTCAAATGTAGAACATCAGTAGATACACATTTGATTAATAATTTCAATAGAAGTTGTCTAAGGCGCCAGCATTTACCTTATTTCTGTGTTGTAAAGGCACACATGGGTCTCTCCCTCCACGGACTGGCTCTGAGCTGCCTTCAGCCTTCCTCCCCCTGGCATGTTAGACCTGGGTCAGATGCAGCTCTCAAAATGATGCAAAATTATTTGAAGTATATATTTCTTTTAAAGAAGTAGTGTCAAAATTTCCTAATAAGAAAACCTACACTTAGGCAGAACTAGAGAAAATAGAATGTCAGAGTAGGAAGGGACCTGAGGAAATCATCTGCTCCAGCCCTTTTGTAGAAGAGGAAGTGGAGGCCTAAATTTAGGGCATGCATCTGGCTCATACATAGTAGAACCTACTTTTTGTCCTCCACTTACCCTTAGGATGAAATGAGTTAACCTCTTTCTGGTCCCTAGCACAGTGCCTAGGACCTAGTGAGTGTTCAGCACATGTGACCTATTGTTTGGCATCAATATTTCTAGTGGCAGAGCCCAAAGAGGAACTCAGATGTCCTAATAGTGGCTCTGAGGCTTGTATTTTGTATTCCCTATATTGTATAGGGAGAAGAGTGTTTGTGGAGAAGTTGAATTAAAATAAAAACATTGGGGATGCTTGAGTGGCTCAGTGGTTGAACCTCTGCCTTCAGCTCAGGGCATGATCCCAGAGTCCCCAGATCCAGTCCTGCATCAGGCTCCCCACAAGGAGTCTGCTTCTCCCTCTGCCTGTGTCTCTCCCTCTCTCTGTGTCTCTCATGAATAAATAAAATCTTTAAAAAAAAATAGTGGCAGCCTCATTGCTCATTGCTGAGCACGGACTTGGTGCTGAGTTCTGGGCTAAGCATTGTGTGCATCTAACTTCCCAAATCCCATGAGATTCATACTCTCTATTGCCTTCGTTTGACTCAAGTAAAGTCTGAGTTGGGTAACTGGCCTGTGGTCACAGCAGTAATAAAGCACTGGGCTAGGTTTACGGCCTGCTTTGTCTGATTCAAAGTCTTTACTGTTGGCTGTTATTTTACTCCAGGGGTTGGCCAACTATGGCCCACGGGCCAAATCAAGCACACTTGTTTTTGTACAGTCCTCAAGCTAAACATGTTTTTTACATTTTTAAGTGGTTAAAAAAATTAAAGAAGAAAGAATTTCATGACATGTGAAGATTCATGAAATTCAAATTTCAGTGTCCATAAATGAAGTCTTACTGGAACATAGCTACACTCATTTGTTTATATTGCCCGTGTCTGGTTTTGTGCTACCTCAGTAGAGCTGAGTAGTCGTGACAGAGACCACATGCCTTGAAAAGCCTAAGATATTTTCTCTCTGGCCTTTATACTTCTCAGTGATTATATATTGAGATTCCAGTTATTTAGAGCATAATTGTGGGCTTTTTGTAGGGTCTGTCTCCTCCTGTTACCTGCCTTTTCTCTTTGTTCCATGTTAATTAACCTATCACTCAAATGATGCTTAGTGTCTAAATTTTGTATCTTTACTTAATTCTGCTCTGTTACACAATTTATCCTTCCAAAGGACCCATTCTGACAGCATGTTCTGATTGTTTCACTCCACTCTTCTTAAGGCATCATTTCTACTCTGATTCTTTTTTTTTTTTAAATTTTTTTTAATTTTTATTTATTTATGATAGTCACAGAGAGAGAGAGGCAGAGACACAGGCAGAGGGAGAAGCAGGCTCCATGCACCGGGAGCCCGATGTGGGATTCGATCCGGGTCTCCAGGATTGTGCCCTGGGCCAAAGGCAGGCGCCAAACCGCTGCGCCACCCAGGGATCCCATCTACTCTGATTCTTGAGTACAGTTTATCACTTATGCCCCCATGTTTTTAAATAGCTGATCCCTATATAAACTCAGTATAAACTGAGTTCACCCTTATAGTATCTATATGTTGTCTTTTTAAGAGGGTGAGAAATGATTTGTTGCTTGATGCCATTCAAAGCTTTTGATGAGAACATGTTCATAACCATGGACTGTGTTTCTTTGTGGTCTACTGGCCTTCTGCAGCAGCCATCTACTGAGCTGATTATCTTTAAACCTCTAAGTGTCTTAGATGCAGAAATCACTCTATTTTCTTTTCCTTGTAGTGGTTTGCTGTCTTCTGATTATGTGGAGATCCATTATGAAAATGGGAAGCCACAGCACTCTAAGGTACAGTTAAGAACATTTGGAAATCCTGTAGCATAAACATACGTGCTCATAGAATTATTCATTGCATGCTGCATTGTTTTGAAGTTTCTCAATAAGATTATCTGTTCTCTTGTACAACAGTGCTATTTTTAAATTTGAAATAAGTTTAGAAGAAACTTACTAAAACATACAAATGTTTGAGATAACATTAGAGATTTTGTATATTCGGACCAATAAAGAAATGTTTATTGTTTTGGTTTTAGATATAGCATCTTCTGTAAATGAATGGTATAAAGAGGTATCCAGTTCCATAGCAATACTTTCAAGTAGTAGATCACCAGCTTGTGGTCACAGTGTGTGACCAGACTAGAATGGCTGTTTTGTCCAAGTGACTTTGTTGCCTGAGAGGGGCAGAGGACAGGTGGGGGAAGGGAGATTCAGGGAACAGTGTCCTTCTTAATCTTCCTAAGAGTTCTGGGAGATGGGTATTATTATTTCTGTTATGCAAAGGAAGGAAGAAATTGAGGCGGAGAGAGGGCAAATAAACATACGCAAGGCCATCATACATTGTAATAGGTAATTGGGTACTCAATCTCATTTAGTTGGAGATGAACTATTCTCTTAACAGAGTGTCAATAAGGAGAAAGTGGGTTTAGATGAAAATGAGATTATTTGTATGTAAGGAAGCCAGTGATCTCCACCAGTTGGGATGAAAATCCTTGGAATGGCTACATTCAGATATTCTGGTATGTAGGAAACCCACAGAGTGCCACTGAGCCTAAGCAGTGTCCACGGAGCAGATACCATGGGCATAGGAGAGGAAACAGGGAAGCAAAACACAATGGGAAACATTGGGCTCTTTTTTCTATAAAAATTTTATTTATTTATTCACAAGAGACACAGAAAGAGAGGCAGAGACAGAGGCAGAGGGAGAAGCAGGCTCCCTGTAGGGATGTGGGGCTCGATCCCAGGACCCCGGGATGTGGGGCTCGATCCCAGGACCCCGGGATCACGACCTGAGCCAAGGCAGACACTCAACCACTGAGCCACCCAGGCATCTCTGGATTTTTTTTTTTCTACATCGCTAATGAGTATTGGCACAGAAGTGGGCCTTTTATAGGTGGACTTGCTGGGTTGTGTAGCACAAAGAACATGTTTTTTTCAGTGCGATAGCTTTTCGCCAGGTATTTATGGGTGGCCTTAATTGTAAATACCGCCTGGGGGGGTATGGAGTTTCCCAGGAATTATAACTGTCCAATTAACTGTGGGCACATCTGTAATTCACTGCGTGTTTTAAACCTTTGAATTTTGTGCCACAGATTAAGAACTCCCTGTTATTATCCTTACTATCCTGTCAGTTCTTGCCTTAGGCTGCATCAGGGGGGTTGTTGAATCTCTTGAAAAGTTGATGCTGTGGAAGGCGAGCAGAAATGCTAAATCAAGCACGGGAACAGTGCTTTCTGGCATTCGTACAAACCAAAGCTTCCGTCAGCTATGCCAGTGCCCTGAGCGCTGCGGATGCTGAATCATGAGTCTGGAGTAGAGGAGATGGCATGGGAACTTTATAGACTCAGCAAAGGAGCCACCTTTGCAGGCCACAGTAACCTGAGTCAAACTTCTCACTAACAAGTTCAGTCAGTTTTTCTTTCTTTCTTTCTCTTTTTTTTTTCTTTTTAAGAAGCAGAAGAACTAATTGGCCTCCAGAGGTCATTTGAGGTCCCAAAAGGAGGCCTGATTAATCTGACACATCAGAGCTCGTATCAGTTGCAACTAGAATTTAAAACAAAGGGTATTTCAACTCTGGCAAAGCAAGTGTTTGTTGCAATTTTTTTTTATGTTCCTTACTATTCTCTTATGTTCCTTACCTTCCTCCCATTTTCCAAATAGATCATCTACCCAGACTTACTTGCATCATATGTGATGAATTAATGGTAACAGTCTGTTTTTTATGTGTCTGTATTTGTATATACACCCCCTAAAACCAAGACGACATGGTGCACACGAACTTGAAGCAGCATTTTTTAACCTAATAACATTATGAACATTTTAGCATGTATTAAATAAACTTCTAAATTTTTATTTCTAAAAATGCATAATATTCCTTCCTATAATTTTATTTTTTACTTTTTTATGTTTTAAAGATTTTTACTTATTTATTCATTAGAGACACAGGGACAGAGGCAGAGACACAGGCAGAGGGAGGAGAAGTAGGCTCCCTGTGGGGAGCCCGATGTGGGACTTGATCCCAGGACCCCAGCATCACAACCTGAGTGGAAGACAGACACTCAACCACTGAGCTACCCAGGTGCCCCTCTTACAATTTATTTTAAAATCCCATAGCAATAGAAACTTAGATTGCTTTCAGTCTTTTACTATACAAATAATAGTAAGGAAAGGGCTGATACATTTTTTAAAGATTTTATTTATTTATTTATTTATTTATTTATTTATTTATTTATGAGAGAGAGAGAGAGAGGAGAGAGTACAGAGGGAGAAGCAGAAAGAGACTATGTGGAGCTGATGTGGGACTCGATCTTACGACCCTGAGATCGTGAGCTGAGCTGAAACCAAGAGTAGGACTCCAACCACCTGAGCCACCTAGGTGTGTCTCCTGAAACATTTTTTTTTAATAATTTTTTTAATTTTTTTTTATTTATTTATGATAGGCACACAGTGAGAGAGAGAGAGAGAGGCAGAGAAACAGGCAGAGGGAGAAGCAGGCTCCATGCACTGAGAGCCCAACGTGGGATTCGATCCCGGGTCTCCAGGATCGCGCCCTGGGCCAAAGGCAGGCGCTAAACCGCTGCGCCACCCAGGGATCCCCATCCTGAAACATTTTGAACACATCTTTAATAATTGCTTAAGGATTAATTCTGAGAATGGGATTTTCTAGGTCAAAGCCTTTTCCTTAAAGGCTTTTGGTTCCTACTGATAGTTTTTCTTTCTGAAAGTTTGTTTAGATCCACATTCCCTCTACCATTACATACATATTTTTTAAAACTTTTTTTTTTAACTTCACGCTGCTTTCCACATTAGGAAAATCTTTGTACAGAGTACCAGTGAAGGAAATTAACATGTAAGGATGGTGAGATTAATTAAACTTATTTCACCTAGTGTGCAACTTTTCTTCCAAAGATTTCATACTGTTTAGACAAAAGTGCATGCACACACACTCTGTTATTCACTAGAGATGAAAAAGATTACTCCTAGCCTATTTTGCTTTGACCTTAAGTATAAGTATGGACATTTAAAATATCCTGCAAATGAGTTCAATCAGAATGATGAATCCACACTTTGAAGAAGCTTGTCTAGGTTTTCCCACCTCACCACCACCTAACCCTTCCCTAGCTAGTTCCTACTTCTTAACCAATAGAGGACAATGTCTTAGGTTTTTATTTTTATTGGATGAAAGTGGGTTAAAAAGACATTTTTTTTTTCCGGGGAGCCTGGGTAGGTCAGTTGGTTGCGTTTCTGCCTTCGGCTCTGGTCATGATTCCAGGGTCCTGGGATGGAGCCCCATGCCCTGCTCAATGGCGAGCCTGCTTCTCTCCCTCTCTCTCTCTGCCCCTCCCCCTGCTTGTGCTTGCTCTGCCAAATAAAATCTTTTTTTTTTTTTTTAAAGGACTTTTTTCCTTGTGAAGCAAAGATAGGAACTGGAGAGGTCAACAATTAAGTAATCAATATAAAATAGGTACCAGGCATCAGTCAATGATAATGGAGGAATTTTGCTCTGCATTCAACAGAACAATCACTTTGGTTAGAGTTCCTAACCACACAGTGCTTTGCGCACAGTATATGATAAAACAAATTCGATTTGTTGATCGACTTTGTTGATGAAACTATTAAAACTGAGTTAATTTTTAGTATTCTTGTAAAAGAATTATGTATAGTTATGATAGTATAAGAGTACTTTTCAACTGTAACTTAGTTCTATTAAGTCCCTTTTAGGCGAACCAATACCTTTGAGTGCTTACTAATACCTCAGTTTCAATTCTGCCTGTGAAAAGAAGTATCAACTTGACAGCAGCCGAGAGGGAACAGATAGATGCTGTGCTCCCATCTCCACTTCCCTTTATTACTCTTTATCATTATTGGGTGGGGAATATGTCCTTTCCTAGCTCTGTTTTCTCACCCCGGCCTCTTCCTGTTGCCTTGCTCACTCCTGCTCTGGGAAGGAAGAGCCACTTAACTGATGGGAAGGAGTTGGGTATGTCAGCATAGTTCTTAATCCCTTCTTTTGTGGGTCTCACCTCCCTGCAGGAAGAGGTGCAATCTCTATCCTCTTCCACACTCTCAGTTGCACAGTAGCAGCCGTGTGTGTGTGTGTGTGTGTGTGTGTGTTGGTGGGGGGGGGGTTGTTGTTCCATGTTGTCTATCCCTGGGTGGGTAAATGTAGCAAACTCAGGGCTGCAGCATTAGCAGGCCCACTGGATTCTCAGCTAATCCTCTCCTCCCGCATACCACTATCAGAAATGGAGGTACCCCTAGGATCTGTTTCGGTCCTGGATCACTTGTATGGATACCACTCCACACGCTCCAAGATACCTATAATCTGAATGCTGGACAGTAGTAAGTGCTGGGGAAGATGTGGAGAACTAGAACCCTCACATACTTCTGGTAGGAATGTAAAATGGTGGTGCTGCTTTGGAAAACAGGTTGGCAGTTCCTCAAAAAGTTAAGCATAGAGTTACCTTAGGGCCCAGGTGTTCCCTTCTGGGTAGATATCTAAGTGAACTAAAAACATATGTTTAAGCAAAAACTTGTACGTAGATGTTCAGAGCAGCATTATTTGTAATTATTCAAAAAGTGGAAACAACCCAAATGGCCATCAGTCGATGAATAAATAAGCTGTGCTACATCCACACAAGCGAATATTAATCAGTCATAACAAGTAAGGAAGTACTAATGCATGGTACAACATGGATGAATCTTGTAAACATTATGCTAAGTCAAAGAAGTCAGCCACAAAGGACCATATATTGTATGATTCCATTTTTAAAAAATGTCCAGAATGGGCAAAT